ATTCCCAGCCCCTTATTCCCCGCAACTTGTTCCATGTAACTCACTATCATCATCTGCGGTGGTTCTCCCCCGCTCCATATCGTATAGCAAAGCTTTTCCATGGCCGTTTGTAATTGGTCCCTGTAAATCCTCGAATCTATTAGCATCGCAGAAGATAAATGTATATCCCTCGAATACGTTGATTCTATTCGGGTTTGGTTCATATGCCGCGTCTGGCCTCTGGGTAGGTTCCCTGCCCTTCGGCGGTAGGTATTGTGTCGGATCTGGCCAGGCAGCATCAAAATCTTCCTCTAGAGGACAAATAGCCTCTTCACTCCCGAGGTCTCCTGGGGTGGTGGCGTATACAATGGCCTCAATGTAGGATTTTTGAACGATGTATCTTCCATTAATCAACGCCTGAAGCCCTTTCGCGGTATTGCGTCTGGTTTGAACAACGTGGGTGGTCTTATCGACCACGTAGGGGATGATTGTTTTAATATCAAGGCCTTCGAGGCGACAGAGAACTTCCTTGAGTGGATCCTTCGCCTTGGACGGAAACGAGAAGGTCAGAACGACAGGGTGCCACTTAATCCTGTCAAATGCTTCCGTGAGCGTCCACCCTTGTAAAGATAGGTTCCGAGCGATATATACCTTAGAACGTGCGGATATTTCCCAATCTGGATTACATGATCGTCCTTGTTAAGCTCCTTGCTCGAGCCCTGGATCGATTCTCCGTCGACTATTGTCCCACATTTCGTCTTTAGGTCGGTAACGATGAGCCGCGATTTCGAGTGGATTTGCAACTTCGTTGAGTGTTAGTTGCAGTAGACACAATGTTTGGTACCTTATAGGCATATTTAGACGGGTGTAAATATGTAAAGGAAACATACTCCTGCCCCTGGCTTTACTTGGCCAACTTCGATAACCAAATGCTGTCGAGAGATGGTTGTGTTGTTGATTGCATGGCACACTGGGAAGTGAGCATAGGGTACAATACGGAGGCAGCAAGGCAGTATAACGCACGACTCTATCAGGCGACGAGGAGAAATCAATTCTTACCTCCGTTCCTTTTCACTCGGCCAAACAGATACTTCTTCCCAGGCTTCAGCCATACTCGTTTGCCTTCGCACCAGAAGGGTTAGCAAGATCATGACAAAGAATTGTACATGTTACATGTACATAGTGAGATGGAAGCTAAAGGATTACCGAGAAGGAAATCACCATCAGACGACAATATCCACATTTCCAACAGGTCGCAGTGTCCTGATGACAGTGATGACAGGAATCCGCTTCAAATGTTGAAAAGCTGCTACGTCGTTTTGTTGATTATTAATTCCAGCTACGAGAGACGCGAATGCACGTGACCACGTGCCCAGCATATTTAGCGTGTTGCTACCCAAGTAATCTGTCCAACGGAGGAGTACGAGAATGCTGCTTGAACGGCATCAAAGGAATTTTGGACACCCAGAGGATTGCTATCGCTTCATTAGAGGTGTGTGGCATGTGTATGGGTAGATAATTGGTATAGGTTTCATAAAACGAAAAAAAGAGAATGGCATCTTCCGAGAATAGCGGTGCAGGTGATGATGCCCAGGCTACAGAAACAGAGGAAACAGACGAAACACTCAAATACCGTCTCCTTGGGCCCTCCCTGACCAAGGCGGGTCAGAGTGCTGTTGACCAACGAAAGGTAGGCTCTCTAGGGGATGGCTTACGCATAGATTCCTTTATTGGAATGGAATATTGAACACTCGTCGCGCGCCACAGGTATCCGAAATCATATACAACGTCTCCAGGGGCTCCAAATTCTTTACTCATGAGAAGTCTCGCAACCAGCTATTAACCACCAAAATCGAACTGATTATTTCCCAGAAGCAGAAAATAGAAGAGCACGGCCTTTTACTTCATACACGCCGGACAGACCAATATCTGGCTGAGCTCGAGCTGGGGCGCGACCTATCGCAGACCGTTGTTCATATCGACTGCGACGCATTTTTTGCGGCTGTCGAGGAGCTTGACCGACCTGAACTACGCGAGTTACCCATGGCTGTGGGAAAAGGAGTCCTCACAACATGTAACTACCATGCTAGAAAGTATGGCTGTCGAAGTGGCATGGCGGGTTTTATCGCCAAAAAGCTGTGCCCAGATCTCATCCTAATTCCGCAAAATTATCAAAAATATACTGCCAAGGCTGACGAAATCCGAGCCATACTGGCATGCTACGACCCACAATTCCAGAGCTCCAGCCTCGATGAAGCGTATCTGAATATCACCGCTTACTGCTCGGCCAACGAGATTGAGCCAGAGGAGGCTGTTCGCAGGCTACGTAGTGAAGTTGTCGAAAAGACAAAGGTGTCAATTTCCGGCGGTATTGCACCTAATGCGCGGTTAGCCAAAATCTGCTCGAATTGGAACAAACCAAATGGTCAACACTATGTACCTAACGAGCGTTCAGCGATTATGAAGTTCATGTCCGCCATACCACTACGCAATATCAATGGTGTAGGTCGTGTTTTCGAAAGGGAACTAGACGCCATTGGCATAAAGTATTGCCGCGACATATTCACACACCGTGGACTTATTTTACCGTTGTTTGGAGAAAAATGTTATAGATTCCTAATGCAATGCTACCTCGGACTGGGAAGGACTAAAATACAGCCAATCGAAGAATCTGAAAGAAAGAGTGTCGGCACCGAACGTACATTTAGAGACACTGGGAATGTGGCAGATTTACAAGAAAAACTTCAGCTGACAGCCCTTGAACTGGAGAAAGACATGCTTCGTACCCAGTTTAAGGGCCGGACTTTGGTCCTGAAAGTGAAGCTTCATACTTTTGAAGTATTATCTCGCCAAATGCTGTTACCGAAAGCGGTTTATTTATCGGAAGACCTCTATCGTTATGCGCTTCCAATGTTGGTCAAACTTTACAAGGAGACGCCAAATTTGAAAATCCGGTTAATGGGTCTACGATGTACAAACCTGGTCAGCATGAAAAAGACAGATGTTAACTTTTTTCGTGGTATCCAAACTAGTAACGGGCGGCCTCAATCCAGTTCCCGTATCAAGAGCCCCGAGGAAGAAGGGTTGGGAATACTAGATGGTCAAGATATCCACGATCAAACCCGGGATCCAGATTCCATGATAGAGGACTGGGAACATTCGCATGTACCATATGGATCCATTGCAGGGAGTCATACTTTGAACCCACTATTCAAGTCGGATCCAACTTTGGAAATGTGGGAGTGTCCGATTTGCATGGACCCGCAGCAGCCCGACAATTCGACTTTCAATCGACACTTAGATTTCTGCCTGTCAAAACAAACGATTAGAGAAGCTGTTTGGGGGACATTGGAGGAACCCCGGCCACCACTGACGGGCAAACGCAAGACTGACCATCCTGCTGATACCGCCGCAGAGAACGTGAGAAAACGACCATTCTTTACGTGAAAGTGGCCGTCACATTCGAATATCACTTGCTATCAATCATCCTTCGCATAGCCTTGTTTGCGATTCTTCTACTAGAATTCTGTAAATACTACTTTTACATAGCTTGCCTCTTACGACGCTACGAAGATAAATATATTTTCTACGATCCAAAAAAATCCTTCATGTTCAGATTCGACATGCTCGCTCTGTTCTCCCGTGGGCTGAGTCAGCAGACCCTTATCGCCGTTATGATATGATTCCGCGCTAGGACGTTTTTAGCCGCATGTTTTCCCGTCCAGCAGCATCACCATCCGACACCGCCCAACAACATCAACATCAACAACATCGACAAACATCACCTCCCAGTTGCTCATTGGTTCTGGTCTCGGGCTTTGGTACATATCTACGCGTCTGATACTGTTTTGGCCCCGGCCACCATGGTCTCCTCTCTATCCAGATCCTCACGATGTCATAATGCGCGACCAACTATTGCGCGCACCTCCCTCGAACCCTCGACTCGGTCCCGCAAAAATGGCCTCGAATAAACACCCCAGCGGCCAACAGGCCAAGCCCTTCACGCCCACAATGAGTTCTACGTTTCGAGCCACAAAAAACCCTTTGACTCCTAAGCTTGCAGGCTATACTCCCACCCGCACTACACGCAATATCGTGTATACGGAATCCACCCAGCAACAGCGAAACGGAATCTCCCGGCCCGCAACTTCGACTCCAACCTCCTCCTCCCTTTTGAGCGCCAATGTAACCCCCAGATCGGGGCTACGACTATCCAGGCGGGACGGAAATGCTTCGCCAGCGGAAACGTCTCCAGCCTCTCAACATGCCTTATTTCCAGCTATCAACGATGTCCACCAACCTGCATCCCCACACAACCACACCCCGAAACGTGATAATCCTGCTATATCGATCCCAAGACTAGCGAGAGCCAGGAGTGTAGCAAACGAGATGCAGCTACCTACCCCGACATCCCGCCCGACCTCATCCTGTGGTAGTTCCGGTGCCTTGTCTATGTTCTTTCATGCGGACGATACTAGGTCTCCACCGTCCACAAGCGATCTTGACCACCGGCCAGGGTCTCTACATAATCAACCCGCACCAACCACCTTTCTCTATGCTGATGGCACCACCACTGGCAGTTCACATCGTGAACCACCAAGGGCTGCTACGCCGTCGGACAAAGCTGCTCGCGTAGCCTCACTCAGACAACCGGACCTTTCGGCCCCGTCACGATCGAAACAACCCTATATATCAACTACGTTACCCAGAGATTCCCAAATACTCCGACATGACCGGACGCCCGCAAGTCCGAATCCCACACTACTCCCAGGCCTAGACGCCCGGCGAGACCAACAGTCACCTACCCAACCTGAGTACACCTGCGTATTTAACAGCGCCACGAGGCGCCCTTCCCACACAAAATCTTCAAGTATGGACACATCGGAATATGGGAGACACCGGAAACACGATCTGCTAGGAACTGTACACGGAAGTTCGCATCTCCCATCCACAAGCCAGCTGCCTTCGCCAAGTTCAATTTCGCGCGACAAACGGGCGAGGGTTGTCAGTGGCAGCTCTTTCAGAATCTATAGATGCCCCCACATATCCTTCCATGTCTGGCAAATCATAGCCCAGCCAGGGAGGACCCGCCTCGAAACGCTGATATAGATAAGATAAATGAACTAGCATCAAATGCTCGCCGAGAGCGTAAGGTCCTTGATCTTGAGATCAGCAATTCGTCCCTGTTAGCAATTAACCGCATTCTTGAACGGGAATTGCGGAAACAGAGCGCTGAACTACGTCGCTACCGCCGGCTGACCCGATCTGGCCGCTTCTCCATGACTGAGTCTACTCTGTCCGCCCCCGGACGGACCCTTTCCATTGTTGGCTCAACAGATGATGAGCCTAGTGATATATCACTGACCGAGGACTCGAATCAGGACCCTTCAACCTCCAGCGACAATGGGTCAACACGTTCCCATGACGAGACTGCGACCTTGAATGAACCAACCGGGAACGACGCAAAACATCGAATTAGAGATGAGAAGCGATTTATCCTGGACTTTGGGAAACATCAACAACTTCTTATCAACAGCCAAAAGATGAATCAAAGCATCAAGCGCTGCCTAGGGTGGACAGAAAGCCTGATCCAAGAGGGCAAAAAAGCCCTGGACTATCATGTCCGTGTCAGTGACATTGATATTGGCGGCAGAGTGCTTGCACCTGATGAACTAGAGGGAGAAGCGGAAGGTCGCCGTGGCCTGCTCAGCCCAACATCAGGGGTGGCTGAACTATATCGGCCCCCGAACCCTTCTCCGTCCGACATCAGGCTACCAGACTCGGACTAACCATTATTCCATGCATACTACCATTTCCTTTGTCTTGTTGCGTCATAGACCGAAGCACTTAGACTCACACTTTTATGTGCCCTTCTCATTGTCTCAGCGCGTTGCCTTCTCCTTCGTGTATATTAACCCATTCCTAACGGTGGCTCTTAAGTCGGTCTGTCTGCGCATATTTATCTACGAGATTCTACGTCGAAGCTATTTTTTTATGTGATACTTGTTTTCTTTTCCCTAGTTTTGGCGTGCGGTCTGGATTTGGTGTCGGACGCTGGATGTCCCCCTTCCCAACAGTGTATATTGGTAGAGCTTTACATACCGGTCTCTTGCTCTCCTCCACTCCAGTGATACCCGAAATATACCATTGCTTCGCGATTTTCTAAAATGCAACATAAAAACAAAAAACAAACAAATATGTTCAAATTCAGTTTATGATTAATATCGTCTTATCTCTACATAGATACAATACATCTCAAGTGTTCAACAAGTAAATGCCAAGCCGCTGAGTTGGGAGCCGTATGTGAAAACAAAAAGGGTAAAGGGGCAAACGATCGTGAAAAATGTATATCTATCAACGAAAACACCGCAGCAAAGAGGAGGAAAGTTCCCTTGGACGCACCCATTAATTCCAGGTACAACGCATCTCCGTCCAATGGCAACATCAGTTTGACGTACCCTGTTCCGAAGGTCCTTGAGTATCGCTAGCAGATTCTGTCTTTGGCTTTTTACCATCCCTTTTTTTCTCATTCTTGGCTTTCTTAGCAGTAGCCTCCGCCATCAACTGTTCGAAGGCCATGTAATCACCCTCCTCTTCTGGAGTACGTTTAGCCTATGGTCATATCGATATGTCAGTGCACGCACCACATAAAAATTTGTAGGGATGTTTGTATGACTGAGGGGGAGCATATAGAGAGAGAGGGAACGTGCCGACTGGTATATCCTCCCACTGAGAACGAGAGCATGAGCACGATCGATACGTTTCTCCAACCGAACCCCTTTATCGTTCAAGATCTTATCGCACACATCCCGGAGGACGCTCTGAATCTCAAATTTACTTCCACGCCACGCAGCTGCAAGCATCTTCCCTGTGACAATTTTGACCTGTTCTGCCATCTTCTCATCAGTCCAATCCTCGCCGCCCCGTTCCTCCAGTTGCGCCATATGCTCCGCACTCATCTGGGCATCGACCATTGTAGAAACGGCGTGCCATGTTTCCTTTGCCAAGGTGCCTTTGTCCTTCAGCCTCGACCAGAAACCAGAGATGCCTAGAAACTTCTGGGATTTCAGGAATGCTGTGCCCTTTTGTATGTAGGTCGTGCCAATTGCGTGGAGGATTTCCAGTCCAAAGGATTCCATTTTGAGGTTTTCGACTTCTAGACGAATCTTCTCTTCAAACGCGCGCGTTACATCCTGTCCCATGTCGGTTTCTGTCCAGATACTAATGCGGTCAATGAGTTTTCTGGGAAAGAAATGTTGATCCGTTCTTCCCGCTGACGTCTTTCTTTCCATTTCGGAAGCCGCTAGGCGTTCCGCTGGTTCCTTGTGAAGGCCGCCCTTTTTCTTCTCCTTCTTCCGCAGCTCCGTCTCTTCTGG